CATTTTATATCATACTTCACAATATGTCTCCATATCAAACACAGATACAGATCTTTGCACTCATAGGGAATACAAACACAAAATAAACTAATATAAAATAATATAAAAAAGGTTGAGCCAATAACATACATTTTAAAGCATCTTCTCACGCTTATTTTCTATTTTAACTTCACTTGGTGTGTATTGAATAACAAGTCGCAGTTGGTGATTTAACTGGACCCATTCTTCACTGTAAGGGGATCGATCCCAGCAGAAACATGAGAAACTAATCACAAACACAAATCCTGAGCAGGGTCGATTCTCTAAGGCCATACACCCATTATTGTGTAAGCCATCTAAAAAATGCAATGAAAAATGGAACTGAGTTCTCAGAAAGCCAGCTACCAGATAAATTCATATCACCTGTAAATGAATGCATTACAAAAAGAAATTCAGGGGTCAACGACAGTGAAGAAACAGAAAAGAAAGGAAAGTGGGATTTTATTGTATAGTAAATGAATATCAGATGGAGTAAGAACAATATAAATAAAGAATCAAAAAGAACAGCACTCTACCACTAACTTTTGTGTTGAATGTATTTAAAATTTGTATTTACAATTTAAACTGTGTATACTGGTACTAAATAAAATCTAATTTCCAACTCCAGGAAAGTCAAGGAAGTCACCTATTAAAGATATCTATCCTGAAAATGTTAGTGCTGTAAAAAACGAAATACGATTTTTAATACAAGTTACATTGAAAAGCCTCTGTGGCCTATAATCAAACCACTTATGCACTTAAATCGCCATAGATAAAAAGGAGAAACTTAAGCAACTTAAGTATTTTGAGTATTAAATCTTTGTGATTGAATGTGTTCAGTTTATTTTATCTCATGCATGCATCACTGACGCAATTATAGTTTAATATTATGGTTCATCTGCTGCAAGAAACTTAGTTTTCAGCATTAGCAAAATGGTCTTCAAAACTTTGTGTGGATATTCTCTAACTTTGTTGAAAGGTTTTGTTTTCAGTAAAGCTGGAGAAAACATAGATGTGGACAACAGAAATAAAAATATATGTTTATCACTTAAATTTTGGAATTTAAAATGTGCTTTGTTATAAGAGTAAAAGAGTAAATCTACCAACATATTTTTGAAAGTGTTTTAAACCTGTTGAGAATGAGTGTAACTTCATTTTAAAAGCTATTAATTATTAAAAAAAAACACTTAAAGTACCTATTTTTTCATACAAACAAGATAAACACGTCTATCTGTATGCTTCAACACAACAGCACAATGTATGAGGGTATGTAGGTGCTAAGAATGACAAACTGTAATTACTTACAATAATATAATGGTGTTACTGTATGTCACTAGCACTATCTCACAGGATTAAACTTGTTTTTTTATGACTCAACATAAGCACCTACAAGGGATTTGCTAACTATCAGTTGTAATCCTGTATTACTGCCAATTATGTACAAACACAGCAGTGACTGGATGATTAACTGCCGTATTACTAATAGGAAGTTCTACTCTGGGAAAAGTTCAAGTCAAAGTTTCTGCTCAGAATTAAAAAGAATCAAACACCCTTCCAAGTTACACATTCATTTTAGTTCACCTCAAATCTTAGAACTTAGGTCTTAAACAGGGTAATGGGAAGAGGATCCAGGTTTAGGAGGAGAGATATTTATACATTAGATGACAGAATACAGTGGAACCAAGACAGAATATTTATACATGTCCACCAGGATTTATGTTAATGCACTAATAATGTTCTCTTAAAGTAATAGAAAACATGCACAGTCTACTAACTACAAAAATGGTATTATTCCATACAAAACTTTAAACTCTAGAGATATAAAAGGGGGTAATGCAAGAAAAAGACAAAGAGCTTCCCTGAATCTTTAAAACAACCTACAGGATCTGTGTAGGCAAAAGTTATCCTTCTCCTGTAAAAAACACATTTGTGACCAAGCTCTATAAATCAGTGTGGAACTTTAAATCGCCACAATTTATAATTCAGAACTTCACTAACATTCCAATAATGACTACAATATTTGGGGTTTAACTCAGCTGGCTGAGGAAGTGACAGTAATAGCTGAAGATCAGCTGTGACAAACACCCTCACTTAAGAGGAATGAGCCAGGGAAAAAAGTCTGTAACAATGAAGTTGGGGTGAAAATAGGGGTACTAGAAAAGATGGGTGTAGAATTTTGAGCAATCAAAGAGTATTAACTGTATACATGGGGGACTGGAAGTGCAACAATAGAATTTGACCTCTCAATCTCGTATTAAATAAAAACCATGTCAGAAGTTTGGTTAAAATCTATGACGAAACAAATCAACAAATGGAAATGGGAAGCATACATAATATTTTGGCATTAACTCACCCCGATGAGGAAATGACAGGATCACTAAAAATTAAAACAGATCTTGAACAGAGTGCTAAGAGTAAGTTGGTTCAACTAAGACGTTTCACGGAAATTGAAAAGGACATTCATGTAGCATGGAATGAATGAAAAGCACATATGATTCAGTAGCTAGCTTGTTTGATTGAGTAGATTCAGACGTAATATATCTAAGAAATTAAATAAGTGAAGATGAATGAAGTGAATGAGAAGCAGGTATGATGTGGGTTATAGAATGCAAGTAACAGATGGAAGCACTAGCAGCACTAGGAGACGTTGCTAGCTTGAGACTGGAAATCTGTGGTAGGCAGTGGAAGACAATGTGATGACTCAGAAGAGTAACCTGAAATGGAAGTAGGTAGAGAGCTACCACATCCTTAAATCTTCTAGAACAGAATGGATCAGGAGATATGCCAAATAAGGGCAGAATAGTAAAATATCAGTTACACTCGCAGAAGGAAGCACTGGGAGAAGGAAGAGTCGAGGGCCAATAGCACACCAGTTGGACACCAACTGATGAAAGGGGTAAAGGATGGGGGAAAACCCATTGCCACAGCCAAGGATGGAGAGGGCTGGGAACAAGGAGATCTGGACCCACTTTAGACAAACGAAGGGGAAAGTTTGGGGTCAGTGACTCGGTAACCTCTTATGAGGACAGCTAAAAGAAGGATGGGGACATATTTTAAAATGCATAAATGTTCCATTTTCATGTTAATGAAGAATTTGCCATTGGCTTTGGTGAATTTTAGAATGTTGCCTGCCATATTCTTACCTTTCTCATTATTTAAAAGCTGTAAATTTAAAAACATTTGTCCATGTTAATATACCACACATTTTAGTAATGCACATTTTCCACAGTAATTCAAATTGTACTCCAGAACATGGACAATATCCAGTCTGTTATAAATACCTCCACTACTGTTAGAAAACAAAAAAAAAAACATTCTGACATCAGAATAGGCCACAAGCTGTGCTTTCCCTGGAATAAAAGCTCTATTAGGTGAGATGCATTTCAGTAGACAACAGAAAAATCTGGGTCAATGGCCTTGAACATACTAATATTATAAATCCTTAACTAAAAAAAAAAGAATAGTTATTAACAGGAGCTAAGGAATAATACTGTATATCATGAATTGACATACATTTTCTTCTTGTATACAGCAACATTTTAATATGTAAAGGACCAAACAAAACAGCATCTACTGTAGCTTCTAATCCTTTGGCAATTGTTGTTGCTCTTATTGTTAATGTTTTGGTATTGTTGTTGTTTTTATTCAGTTATTTACAGCCACACAGATAAGAACTTCTAAGAACTTTTATATTTTTAGCTGTATTTTGAGCAGCTTCTACACAGATGACATGTTCAATGATTTTGTCTGCTCTACTTTTTCAGAAGTTTAGTGTTTTTTCCATGTCTGTTTCACAGCATTATGATGATCAAACAACTGTATACATTTTCTGGTGTATGTATTTCTTAAGGAAAATCATTTCACTCTCACTGTTAAGGAAAGTAGTCACCACATTACAGACTGCATTTTTTTCATGTTGTTTAGTACATTTCTTGGTAAACGTAGAAAACATAAATGCAAAACCAGCAGATAAAAAGAGTGCACTATAAGGTTTAATAGGCATGTGTTATGTAGGTGTCTTAAAAATACCTACTGTACAAAGTACACAAACTGCAAGTTGAATGTACAATGTATTTCAATACCACTGTTTTTGTCTTTTACTGTGAAAATACCTTAATGTTTTCTTCTGTTTGAGTAACTTATAGTTTTAGTTTGGGTTAATAGGATTCATTCTTCTTATTTTAATTATATTAGTTCCATCACCTATTATTTAGCATAATAAATATAATTTATTCTACAAATAGAATGTTTTGTTTTACAGCACTTCAGAGAAGTTTTGGGCACAACAAGGAGCAGCGATGAGGGCTTTGGACTCTTGCTTAAGAGTTCAAATCCCAGGGACCAAGCAAGATCCTTAAGCAGGTACTTCAGTTAGACAGCTCCAGTAAATTCACTGCTGTATAAATGAGGACTCCATGCTGAAAAGAGAAGAAAAGAAACGCAACGTTTTGCACCCGAAGCAGGCTCCACAGCCCAAACGTTGTGTTTCTTTTCTTCTCTTTATAGCATGGAATAAACCTTTAATTGTTCATTTGCAGCCTATGCATGCTGATGCAGTTACCTACTTGGCCTAAATGGGTACTCATTACTGAAAATCAAAATCAGTTTTCAATGAACCTGAATCTGGGTAAAATAAAGGATAAAATAGTTTTGTTTTTAATTGACTTAAAATTCTTACCTTTTTGTTACTTAAAAGTTTGCAAAAAGTCTTAACCTCTATACTGCTCAAGTCCTATACTGGGAAATATAATTAAATAGTTTGAGCACATTTACATTGTAATTAGATCACAGAACAGTTGTTCCCTTGAGGAATCTCAAATACACACAAAAAATACTAGCTCCTAGCGCTGGTACTTCCTCCTAATTTTTTGTCTTAAAACCTTTCTATTCATCACTCTAGGGAATTTCAGACCTTGAAATGTTCTCTCAGTATGGAGACTACTAATGCAGTTTGCGGCTTTTGTTTGAACGGAAAGACTTACCCCATTCTTTGGATAAGCTATCCATCCCAGGTCACCCATTACAGTTCGCGAGTCCAATAAATTCACTGCAAAAGTATAGAGGTAAAACAATCTGTTAGCAATTACATCAAAGTACCTGTTTAAGAAATGTCTTAGAGTCACTGAAAAAGGCAGGAACTGTAGCTCTATCAAACTGAGGTCTATCAAAAACATGTAAATAAACTGGTAACTACATAAAAGTCCGAATAAACTTATAGTTTCTATTTTATTCATTATCATTCAGAAATGCAGAATACAAATATTATGTTATCACTTGTATGCAATAAATTGCTGCTCAGATCTTGTAATACCCAGTTTTTCAATTCAGCACTTTGTAACTTTGTAAGGAAACTATATTATTGAAGTACTTAACAACTCAGGAATATAAATGTGTTATTTTTGTTTTGTACAGCTAGCAAAAAATCTATTAAGGATTCTGTAATGATATCAAGAATAAAAGCAAGTGCCCATTTTTAACAGTTTTATTAGGAAATCCCACTAGTATATTAAGTGCAAAAAAAAAATCTACACGAAGATCGTTCTTGAGATTTTATATAACTCTGCAATCTCTTTTGTTTCTAAGCTTAAATGTATTTGAAAATTGTATACCTTAGAGAAAACACATTAGAATGTCAGAATATTGTAATATGTAGAATACATGGATTTCATTTAAAAATAAATAATATAAAAACATATTACCAAGTAATTATCAGTTTCATTAACAAAAACAGTAACAGTTACATATTGTAAATAAAATGTTACATTTCATATAAAGAATATACAGTATAAATACTTATAGTATATACTGTATAATGAAATATACTCTTTTGCTCCTGCCATTATTTTGCTTACTCAGCAAGGTTTGGAAAAGAAAAATTACCCTTTGGGGTTCACACTTTAAAATGACAATCTTTAGATGACAATACTCGAGAAAAGAATTATCCTACTTAAGACTATTCCCAATTGGAATTGGAATTGAGCACTTGCCCACATAAAATTCCCTACAATTTATCTTTAAAGTATTATGTTCTTTAAAATTATTATGTTCTTTAAAGTATTATGATCTTTCTAAACTTTTTCTGGTAATTACAGATTTCCAGGTGCACTGTATTTAAGAGGGCAAAGACAAAATAACAAAAACTAAAAACTACATACAGTATGCCATCAGTAGCACAATATAAGCCTTTTAAAGAAGTTAAATTCAACACAATTTCTTCTAATTAACCAATCAAAATTACTTCATAAAATCCCATTTTTATAAAATATAAATTAGTACAAAATGGACAATAACATTTATCAGCTGGGAGTCTAGTTACCCTAATAAGCCTAATAATGGATAACTATTACCCTTTACTCTTTCTGAAAAATACTTGATTAATCTTTCAGCCAACAGAAACAGAAAACCCCAAAACAAAAATATGCGTTGCACTATCTTTCTCATTGGCCACTAATTAGAATATTGCAGTCATCCTGAATGCACGACATTCAGAAAAAATAATATTTCATTAATGTCTAATGTCATATTATTTTACAGTTGTTAAAAAATATTTAAAGTCATCCTTGGTGAGTGTCATTCAAAATATATTTGTGTAATAATTTATGCTGACTGTACATCTACGTGGAACTATACATAGTGAAACGGAAAATGTACTGGAAGCCCTTTTAAGAGTAATTTCCCAGACTATCATGTCAAATTACACAATTCTTTTTTTAAGTCATATGCTATTTCACCCTTGCAAGTTTAAACCAAATGCAGTGGAAGGATTAAGTCTCGCTTGCAATTATAAAATAAGTGCTTGAGGGGATGAATTAAATAAAAGTGTAATATGTCTTCTTCCATGTACAGTACTTATTTTAGTAAAGTGTTATGAGTCATTTCAAAGAGTGTATCCTTGTCAAACAGTTCAACTGCTACAAAGTGCTCGCTGTGGCAATTACACTAATTAAAATATTTCAGATTAGGTGCACTTGTGTAACAGACACAATATGCATCAAGGTTCACTACAATAATTAGACAGAAATAAGACTAATGAAGGGAAAAATATGGAATCACAGGAATAACCTTTAAAATTCTGTAAAGATTAAGCCATTTCAATCTAACAAAAGACAACAAGAGTTTCCTCATATCTAGGATACAGCCAACAAATGCTAAACCAACATTATCCAACGCTTGTCATGCACAGCCTCATTTCAGCAGATTTTGTAGGTCACCACTTCATCACCCAATATCTAAAGGATTGGAACAAGTTAATTGCGACCAGTTAAGAAGGCAATTTGTTAAACTACGTAATTCAGAGATCATGTGGGACCAAACTCTGAGTACTTCACCCTTTAAAGACTAAATTTCTGTGAATTAAACAGATCACTGGTTTAACTGATCGATAATTTACAGGTGTCGCTAATCTTTAGAAACTGAAGATGTGTATGACTAACTGAATCGGGGCTCTCCAAGACCAAGGTTGAAAACCCCTATGGTAAATTATTGCTGACTATTAATCAATGCTTTTTTTGTTCATCTGGAAAACACTTTACAGCATTGTCATAAAAATATTCCAGTTGTATCTTCTTTTAACACAGGACAACTTATTTTATGTGATGCAAATAAAGTCAATAAATAAACATACAGTCCATGGCCGCTCATGACAATTCTGAAAGCAACAAAAGGATTTGAGAAACGTTATGCCAAAATAAACAAAAATGGACAACGATATTGTGATATTTCTTTTGGTATGAAGTAATGGTTAAAATGCTGCTTTGTCGGTAGTCAGTAACATAGGGGTAGCTAGTCAACATTATCTAGTGCGATTTTTATTGCTGGTGATTGAAAATATATTGGTGCTTAAGTCTCATGATCCTATAGCATAGCTCTTTCAGTTGTTGCCAGGCAAAAATCTGTGAGTTGTGTTGCACATACTTTAAGTGTAAGAAAAGGATATACACCATCCTTTTTGATGTACCAATGTGGTTCCTGTGCCATCAGCAATACACATGAATTATTCATACCTCGTCACAATTTCACAACAGCTGCATGTACACCCAGTTAATATATATTACGACAGGAGCTGGCAGTTATTCAGCTGAAGCTGCGTTACAATGCTTTTATTTCCCTGCCTATGCATTAATTAAACATTTGTATAAAATATTGCCGGCACTATGTAAGTAAGGACTTCAAAACAGACATTTTTAATAACAATAAAAAAGAAACACCTATCTTTGATTAAATATCAAGACTGACACAGACATTATGCACATAAATTATGACAGAACTAACATAGGAAGATTCTACAATACATTACACTTTGTTCTTCTCTGTCCTCAACTCCAGTGAAAATTAAAATTGTTTTGGTTTATCTTACTTCTTTTTATCTTTTACTACTGTACTTTCAGATATTCTGTACGAGTACTTGTAAATTACATTTGGGATCTGTGTAATCAGTATAACTTTTTATGGTTAGTAAAAGCAAGTTATTTAATTAAAACAGTGCGGTACAAATAAGCCAAACTCAATTAAGATAGGGCAGACGGGGGATACTATAAAACTGTGTTTGGTGATATCATTATCACATAACCTGCATGTAATCAATCAAGTTATTGAAAATCTGCCTTGAGTAATTCAGTGGTTACAGTGATGACTTCTTCATCCACTGGCAACTCTAATAGGTCCATTTATTTTTTAAAAAACGCTTTATCTCAAATTCAAACTAATGCCAGAATAATATGTTTTATTTATGATCAGAACACTACTTTTTATCATATAAATCAATATGTGAAAACCTTCAGGCTAAAATAGAAAGAGTTAAAGTTGTTTTTTTTTCCCTTCCTCTAACATTATCAGAAATAAGGGACATTCAAATTTATGTTAGGGTATACATTTCAAAAACTGTACAACGCTAGTATGCAATGTCCTTGCAAACACTTTTTTAATGGTGAGACACAAACATAATTAACTATAAAATGCATGCAAGTTTGAAACATTGCCCTGTCATTACCTATACCCTGACACAGATACAGTATAGTGAAAGTGTCCAGTTTTCCCAAAACACTTCCATGGACTAAGAAACAAAGCCACTACCCGCTTCATCTTGTAATGCTGTCCTATACAGTATGTGGCATGCAAAGCTCTTGAACAAATTGGGTTCAATGGTTGTTTCTCAAGTATTATTCCAGAATTGTTCCCATTACTGAATTCACAGGACAATTTAACATTATAGGCTGCCCTTGGGGTTATCCATCACTTTAACAGACCAAATAAGTCTGTTTATACATACAGTACCTTGTCAGGGCTACTAATTTTAATGTGACAGGGTTCACTAGTTGTGGTTGAATTGTCTCACTCTTAACTCAAGATTTTGCTGCACTAGGATCATAATTTAAAACAGGCTTATTCACGTCAAATTAACAAGCCACACTTTGCAGGTATAGGGTTTACTATAAGGCTTTTTCAACTGTCCTGAAAACTATCTATTCACTGAGGTTTCCAATTCACTGTAAAGGCCGATTTGCTGACTCCAAAATGCATCCATGTAGAAAAAAGTAACTGACATTTCATTTGGCAGACACTATAGCGGTTGGCATGATTACTTTGGTATCAAAGCTCTTTTTTGTGATTTTGTGACTGACAGTGTGAACCCTTTTTTTTTAGTCAGAGTGTGTAAAGATGCAGTAGTTTGTAAAACACCCCGTTGTTAGAGAGGACAAGTTCACAGAGCTATTCCAACACTAATATATCTGTTCCGAAAAGTATTTCAGACAAATTTCACAAAAAAAGACTTCAAACTTTCTCCATACTTCAGTGAACACCAACAAAACATTGTCTTGTTAAAAAGCTACAGTAGCTGAATCTAACAATACAGTCTTACTTTTCTTCTGTTTTTAAACACAGCTGTTAAACTTTCCTCCCACACTTTGTTAAACAATACAGCACTGAATATCACTCAATGTGTGTAAATTTAAATGTAAAACCAATTTAGGTGACATAAATCCAGCAATAATTGGCTACCTTTTGTTCAATTGCTTTTGTATAGCTATTGATCTGTAAATACGGATTACAACTTAAATACACTGAACAATTTTGCAGCTCAACTTTAAATGTCTCTGTTGTGATATTTCATGGTTAAATATCCCAGTGGGTATATACATGACAGGAAAAAGGACGCTGTTTATCTTTTTCAATCTCCAGTGGCAATTATATTTCAAAACACTGCCAAAAAATGCCAACTGAGAAAGAGAAAATGTCTAGTTAAAGAGTAACAGTTCCCTCTTCAGATAATGAAAACCGAAGTCCTTGAGAATGTATTTTGTCAGAAACAATTTTCTTTTTATGGAAATGAAATAGGTTAGAATCATCTTCTATTTGCCAATCAATTGTGGTACAATCAGTTTTTGGATAAAAGCTATCAATTATATTCAGATTGCATAATTTGAAATGTTTTCTAAAAAGCACAATCATCCAGTTATACAAGCAGTTCTGGCATAACCTGAGGGATATGTTTAGAAATAGTCAAAATCATGGAGACAGTATTAACATTTCTGTAAGGAATCACTAAAGAAATATATGTGTACAGATTGTGCTTTGAAAAAAAATATTTTAATTGTATCTGTAAAAATGCATACTTAAGTGCAATGATATTCAAAAAAAAATAGAAAACATTTAGCTATGCAACAATTTAGCTACAGCACTTAGATTAAATTTAATCTTAGAATTTAGTTTAAAAAACAACCTTACTAGAATGGCTGCACATATCTTAGTTGCATATTTAATAAATTAACAAACAATGTATCCTGCAGTTTTTATATAGCTCTTTCTCCTCAGCTTTTTTTAAAATCTTTAGATTGCATTCATTATAATGATTTAAAATTATACTGGAATTTCACTGCTATTGAAACTTAATTATTATTCTGGATCAATAGGTAAATTAGTTGGTTTTGAAATATGCATATTTACTCTAATTCTTTCTATATCATAATTCCATATTCTATGCACATATTCCACACTGATCAGTCTGAATTTGTCATAAAGACTTTTTGAAAGTTATTATTAAAGTTTTCTATTGCTCAGAAACAGTAGGAAATGGCAAAATATTAATTTCCTAGAACTGTATTTGTTTTTGTTGCTTGATTTTAAGGATTAAGCCTTTAAAAACAGTGATCATACTTATTTCTAAACAGTGCCCAAAAATGATTTCCATAGACAGTCACACTAAAAAAATATATTTGCAGAACAAAGGGCAAAAAGTAAGTGGTTTCAGACAGAAAATTGTCTTTGATATTTCAAATGCTGCAAATGGAAATGAGGTATTACACTGTAAATCTTTGAAAACATGGGTAATATATTTCAAATAGCCTGCTGGGAGACATATTTACAGTAATATACAGGACAGTCACTGATTTACGGTTGATTTTTAAATTGATTCAATCAACTTGAATCAATTCCTATGCATAAATATCACTACAAGAAAATCGGAACAATTACCCCCAAAATAAACCAACAGAAGTCCATGGTAAACTCTTGAGATGTTATTAACATTAATACAATTTTTGTCACTATTTTAAGGCTACTACAGTATATACCTATACACGATTTTAAGAATAATGCTGTTATTTTGTATAGTAATGTACATACTGTACGAGTATATTATAGTTTTATCTTACTTTAATAAAAACCTCCCATCATATTGAATACTAATCACGTGTGAACGAAGTAATTGAGCTTTTATGGTGCCTGTTACCATATTACCTCCCACATCAAAAAGAAGCTTCCAATAACAAGTAGATAAGAAACAATGAAAAGCATCCATTAAAAATACATTAGAAACATTAAACTTCCTGTAAACATCTTATATGATGTGACGATTTACACACTCGTTTACGTGAAACACTTTTATGTTTAGATTATTTTGTCTTTGTGTATGAGATAATAACTTTTGTACAAATGAATCGCTATCAGATTATAAACGAACCGTTGAGAAATAAAACTGACAATTCAGGGCTTTTTATAGAGATTGTGGTAAGGGTTCTATTCAACTGTAACAAAACTGTAGTGAAGATTGTATTAACCTGACTTTACGAGCATCAGATGTATTGATAGTATCCTGGATCTGTCTAATAGATCCGCATTTTAGAAAAACTCATTGGCCTAGAAATTCGGTCAGCGAAAAAAAAAACATATGAAAGTGTTAATCATGTATTAATATACATTGGAATGAGAGAAGGGGTTGTTAAAACAAATTCATGTAACGTATACTTCATACGTTTGCCTCTTTCCTAATTATTCTATTCAAATAACGCAGTCCCGCGAATATTAGCAGCGTGTTAAAACCAAAACTTTAATTGTTGACATAATTCGTACGTTCTGAGTTATTTTACACTTATATATCAAGCAAGAAAAAATCAGTTTCTGAAAATCAGATAGATACTTTCCATTCACAGTCAATTTTTTGTACTTAAAATGCAAAACTAGAATATACCGTCCGTTGACAGCTGGTATGAAATCAGGACACCTGTGCTGACGCTTTGCAAGAGTGAACAGCCTTCTTATTTTAATCATTTCAGTTTTTATATGTATGTTATGCAGGATAGATTCAACATGAATGTACATTGTAATTACTTTAAAATATTTCACATTATAACGAGTAAATTTGGTCGAAATATATGATCCAAATCAAATGACTGTGCTGAGGTTTCAATTGTAAAATAAAATACCGATAGGTATAATCTGATTTTTGAAACAACGCATTAACTAATGTTACACAGGGACTTTTTTCGAAATACAGATTTTAACGCGTTGGCTGTGTACATGTACAGTACTGTATATACCATCATTAAGCTATTTGTTATATATAAATACTAGAAAAAGTTGTAACCCTTCATGAGAGAACATTCGTATTGTGGTGTAATAACTTGTTACTGTTTTAGTTTATATTTTAAGATGTTATACTCCAGCTATGAACATGCTAATACATCTTTATACATTTCTGACATATAGATTAATCAGTACTCCAAAATAGATGGATGTCTACAAAGTGCAGACTTCATCGAGTATGTCCTTTATATGTGTCACTTTTATTACATGCATTATTATGATTATTTATGAATTATATTACCTCGACGATTCTAATTACATTCTTGAATTTGGCAATGATAAACTCACGCAAACTACTGTACAGATGATCTTAACACGTTTAAAACCATACTGAAGAGCACTGCTGCTCGTTTGTTACGAATAAAAAAATATCGCATGCGTCGTTTCTTAAAACAGTTCAAAGAAGGTATTCTGGAAAGATCACAGATTCAGGTTTTTATGAGTTCCTTACCTTCATTACTCGGAATAGCAAGTGTCCTGAGTGCGGCTGAGATAAACGAGGTCCAAACTAGAGTGCAAAGGGTACACCGTCTGATATAACTCCACTGAGAAAACATCTTCAGTGCAAATATATAAAAGAATCAGTTCGCTGAGCGGGGGAGACAGATGAAATCTATTATTACCAAACTGCGTAACTCGCTGCTAATGTGCTCCCGGTTAAATAGACGAAGACATTGGTATCTGTACTCGCTTTCGTGGTCAAAGAGACGCACATTGAAGTACCGAGGCAGTACGGAGCTGCTGTGAGGCGAAGTGTGATAGTTGACTATGGGAAGCAGCGCAGTCACCACCAACCTAAGCGGATAACTAAAGGCGGAGCAATACTACCCTGTCAATCACTGAGAGGGCACACTTTAACGGCCGAGCGTTATACACAGCAGCGCAGAAATGGCAACTGTCTTTCAAACAGCCCCAGTTGTGCTGTTATATCCTAAGAAGTACGAATAAACAGACAGCAGCCTTTTAAGTTAGTTGCCAGGACCGGGAGGACAAATGCCAAAAAAATTCTCCCACCTGAAAAATCTTAATTTACATCTTTAGAAAGGAGGATGAGAAAGGCATAAAGGGCATTTATATGTTGTACCTAAGGATTACATGATTAAATATAGAATTTAAAAATTATTTAAACCTGGTACACAATGCAAAAGCGCCATTTTCTCTTCTACACAATTATTTTGTAGGCTGCAATAAAATGTTTTTAAAAACTTGCAGTAGATACAGTACATACGGTAGAAATACTGATCTATCTTTAATCCCAAAATGTCCTACAGTATAGATCACAGTGGTGTCATGTACAGTATTTTATGTAAAGCTGTAGTGTTAATATGATACTACCCCCCATTAAAATAATGATACAGTATAGAGTATTTAACAACAGTAAATGAAAAATTGATAAATGTCCACATTCAGTGAAAATAGGAACCTAAGGAAAAGTAATGGGTAGTCCTTTGGTGTGTTAAAGATTCAAAACAGTTGTGTCACGGCCTTGTGGCCTACCTAGTAATACAGTAGGATTTTACCAAATTACATCACCTTAGAAAAATCATCACCTCAGTACTTATTATGAAACTCATTGTTCTTTCTGAAAAAAAAAATCCAGTGGATTGATTTACTAAGTGCCTTTGAGGATTATGAATATTACACTGAATACTGAATACTGAATACCGAACCTGTATCTGCTCCCCTCATAGTTTTCCCTGTTTAAGATAAAAAAGTTCAGTTCCTTCAGTCTGTCAGGGCAGGACATTCCTTTAACCCCCATAAAGTATCTGCTTGCTCCTCTCTGGCCCATAATACTACTATTACTAATAATAACAACAATTTCTTACCCTTATATAGTGCTTTTCAGGACACTCCAAGTCAAAGCACTTTATGGGTAATGGGGACTCCCCTCCACCACCACCAATGCGCAGCCCCACCTAGATGATGCGACAGCAGCTCACCACACACCAGCCATCAGTGGGGAGGAGAACAGAGTACTGAAGCCAATTCATAGATGGGGATGATTAGAAGGGACGCCTGGACGCCGGGGTTACACCCCTACTCTTTTCGAGAAACGCCCTGGGATTTTTAATGACCACAGAGAGTCAGAATGTTTTACAGTACATCTCATCTGAAGGACAGCACCTTTTTACGGTATAGTGTCCCCATCACTATAATGGGACATTAGGACCCACACAGACCTCAGGGTGAGCGCCCCCTGCTGGCCCCACTAACACCTCTTCCAGCA